AAAAAAAAAAAAAAAAGGAATGTATGGCAGGTTCTATTCCCTAAAGACCCCAAAGAAGGCCACCAGGACAGTATCTCCCTTCCCATGTCCTCTTTTGCAGAGTGACCTTGCCACACCCCTGTGGAGAAGTGGCGTCTGTTCCCCACCCTTGAGCCTGAGCATGTCCTCTACCTGCTCTGACCAAGAGGATATGGTGGAAGTGATGTTGTGCCAAAAAAGAGAATCAATTGAAACTCTCAGAGCTACTAAGAGACTTCAGGAAGGTGACTGGATATAAGGTCAGAATACAAAAATTGGTATTTTCCCCATATGCAAAAATAAACTTTTTGAAGTATGAGAAAAAATGTCTATTCACAATACCAAGAAAAATCATAAAACATGTAGAAATAAACAATAAATTTCCAGAACTATATAGGATCAGGGTCTCATCAGGAAACAGATGGTATGTTCGAATTAGGATAATTGGAGGTGGCTTTATGGAGAGTAGACCTGCAGGGCTAACGAAAAACTCTATGGCACAAAACATGGCAGGAAAACACTCATGAAAGAAGTAAAAACTCTTCCTAAAGAAACCAAAGAGTTAAACAATAACAACAACACCGAAAGCCATGTTTCTACAATGGAAACCTTCATATTTTAACACTGTCAATTCTGCCTAAATTGTTCTATAAAATCCACATAGGTGCAAATAAATTCACAGTAAGTATTACAAGGTTTATGTGGAAGAGGAAATATCCAAGAAAAATTTTAACAATTTAGAAAAAAGAAGACAAGTGAGTGAAGACTCCCCCCCTCCCAGATATGATAATGCAATAGGTATCAAAAAATAAATCCATGGAACATAATAGAGTTTGAAAATAGACACGGGCATATGGAAATTTAATAAATGTAAAAGCAGCATCTTAAATCGGTAGGGAAAGAATGGACTACTCAGAAATAAATGCTTTGGAATAACTGGCTGTGCACTGGGAGAAAAATAAAATGACATGTCCACTGGACAATACATGTACACACACACATGCACACACGCACACACAAAACATGCAATTAAGTGCACAGAAAAATGATGGAAAGGATAAATGCCTAACTGATAGTAGCAATCCTTTGGGGAGAGCAGTGAGATTTTTGTTTTTTTGATGGTGGAAGGTTAATGTGAATTTTTAGAATGAGAATCTTTTCACGTATTCTTGTAACAAGAAACATTTTGAACTGCAAAAAAATGGAAATTTGAACGGCTTCCGAGGGATGGGGACAGATTATGACGATATCCTTCAGAAAAAGAAGGAATTCACATGAAATAGATAAAAATAAAACAAAAGAGGCATTGTGTGCTAATTCATGATATAACAAGGCACAATCAAGGAAATCAATGTCCGTTTCACAATTTACCATTTCATTTCTGATCACTGCAATGCCAACTATTTGTTCTGCAACTTCGGCTACAAATGCCTGCAGTGGTGTTCCATCCTGAAAAGATAAGCATATATTTTAAGACGCTTAAATTATTGTTATCTATGTTTCTGTAATCAGTCAATAGCGGTTTTAGTGATGATCACATAACAACAATGATAGTTAAAAAAAAAAATTTACCAACACTTACTTTGGGTCAGGTATTAAGTTAAATGCCTTCCCTGTATCTACTGGATCCTCACACCAACTCTAAGAGGTAAGTATTATTATCACCGTATATCTCTTTCATTTATGAGAAAATAAGGCTTGGGCAGTTGAGTAATTTGCCAAGATCTCCACTAGTAAGGGATGGATCTATGATTCAAATCTCATGTCCCTTTTACTCAGAATTTGTTTTCCTTAGCTCTAAATCAGTGGTTCTCAAATCTTATGATACACTGAGGGCTGCAAAGAGCTTTGGTTTATGTGTATAATATCTATCACTGTTTTCTGTATTAGAAATTAAAGCTGCATTAGAAATAAAAAAATGTTATGTTTATTGTTTTTGTTAATTA